AGACATGTGGATATTATCCGGCTGAACAAAACGTGCATTTATCAAACAGGTTTGTTTTCCACAGACCTTATTTCCAGCTATTTTCCAAAACCATATGGAGAAATCCCATTGCTTTTTTGTCGAGGGAACCAGCGGCTTACTTCCTGTTTTTAGGACGCGTCACTTCACCTCTCATTATGCTGCCAATATAAACAAGGTCTTCTGTCGGCTCAATGCCGACCTATGCTGACAATTAAGTGAAGAGTAGAGAATATAAAGGTATTGGCTATAGGGAAATGTCCCAGCAGTTTAGGAGAATGAAGGTTCTAATCAAATCTACTACATAGCCATTACATTTCTAACTCCTAATGACAGGAAGGCAGAAAGCGCATTATACAAATAATAATACTCATAATAATAGCAGACATTTTTTAACAATGACCACAATATCATTATTTTAATAAACCAAATATGAACAATTGAGGAAAATGAGGAAGAACTAATTATTCAAATGTTGTAGTACAAGTAGTAATGTAGTTAGCATAAATGACTATTGCAACAAATGTGTTAATTTTCTTCATTATTAGTCGATTTTTTTTGGACGAATGCTCCGGGCCAGCTGTTATAATGGTGGGGCCAGTGATAATACAATTCCACCTGCCCGGAGGGCCAGTGGCATTTTACCCTTAATGTCTACCCCTGAAAGTGAATGTAAACTTGAATAATGTACATCATTTGAATGTAATAATTAAGTTGATTGTTGTTTGTGGAAGCGCCAGTGAATGAGCCCCATTAACTGAGTTTTAAACATCACTTTAAATGGAAGATTTAAAGTGATGTTTAAATCTTCAATTTAGGCCCCTCCCACTCGATCGGATTGGCGATCGGTATCGGCCGATACTGATTCCGGCGATCGGCCCCAAAATTGGCGATCGGAGCATCCCTATTAGAAATGTATGTTTTATACAGCATGCTAACATGTTTTTGGTATTACATGTATCTGTTCAGAGAAGGAAATCTAATGCACCTACAACAAGCAGGTTTTCTAATCATCACTGGCAACTGCAAATGTGTTTTCTTTCAGCTGATACACTTCATCGTCACCTTGGTACAGAACAACCGCATCCTGAACCTAAAACGCAAAAGGTGAGGAAAGGAAGGAGATGTTGAAGGAAAAAAAACCGCACAGTGTGTCAAAGAATTCTAGTTACAAATGAGAATAAAATGATTGAATTATTATCTCAAATAAACTGTGAAATTGCAAAATGGCTAAGAACATTATGATGGCAGAATATGATGACCTTCCCCTACCTCAATTGTGTCTTATTCGACATTGAAGCTAGTTTCAGCTTAATACCATTTAGTAGACTGAACAGTGCCCAACCATTTTTAACCACTTAAACATATTTTTTAATTCCTTTCATTAAACTTAATTAGACACAATTTGGTATCAAAACCTTTTGGTTGGAGCCCTTCTGTTCTGAAGCTGCTCAGAAAGCTCAGACTGTCCTCAGTGTTTTCTTGAGTGTTAACGGCTTGATTTCGCCCCTATGTTTATTATGAAGCAGGAAACAGTGTATGAACTTCTCTGAAGACATGTGTGTGTCCTTTGACAGGCCACCTCTCATGAACAGCAGTGGAAAGAAGCCCAAATACATTCACCAGATCTATGATGACAAAGTGTGTGTGGAGCAGGTCAGTCAAAAGCAGTCCACAGAGAAATGTAGTGAACCAGTGAGTGTTTCACTTCTTTCATGGAGGATATTGAATATGTGATGTTCTATAAGAAAGGTTTTGTGTCCTGTTTAGTCGTCCGTCAACAGTTTGAATGGCTCGAAGAGCTCGGACATATCGGATGACGTCATCATTTGTGACTTAACTGAGAGTGATGCTGAGTTGGCGGCTGAGATCACAGAGGGCTCGCCCCGAGCCTACGAGACGGGGTGAGACCTTCACACTGCCACATGTCTGACAGCAGGGTTTGGGGGCTAGCAAAATGGCAGGTTGTTAAACTGGATTGCTCCTAGTAAGTCTAGATGTGCATTCACTTCTGGCATTGATCATCCTGGAGCTAAAGATGTTCCTTCTGTTCTGTACTGATTCAACACATGTGTTAAATCAGTACATTAATGTAGGAATTTTGCTGAGTTTTGTATTGAATACAACTTTTATGATGCCGTGACATTCTCACCGAAGTAGCGTGTTGGCTTCAACAAAACTTCATCAGGGAAAGAGTTTCTGAGAAAAACTACTTAACATAAAGGTTTGTTTGATTTACTGATTCAATAGGAGTCTAACATGCAATAGCGTTGAGGAAATCCTAACTACACGGAGTTGAACTTAAAATGTCAGCAGCCAGTTTGTTATTGAAATGCTGTGGAAACTATTAGGGATGTAGAGATCGTGGAGGTGGAGCTGGACAGCTGCGCCTACCACAGCCCCAGACCAACGGAGGTGGGGGTGTCTTCGGCAGCAGAGAACAGTCAGAGGAGCAGCACGTCAGGCTGCAGCGGAGCCCCCAGCGGAGCCCCCAGCGGAGCCCTGCAGCTCAACAAAGCGAGCAGCCTGAGCCTGGAGGACCCCATCAAGATGATGGACTCCATACTGAACGAGAGCGGCGCCATCTCACAGAACATCAACCTGCTGGGCAAGCAAGTGCAACCTCTGCTTTCATATGTATTTTTAAGGTGTTCATCATTTTAACGGAAGAATGGTCTTTGCAAATGGAACAAGGTTATAGCGCACAATCAACACAATACTGTATAAATCTGTTAATGACTTAAAACTCAGAAAGGAGAAAAGCAAGGCCATCATATTACAAAAGAATATAATAGGAAATAATACACACAATTAGTGCTGCGTACCGGTACGCCGAACCGGTACTGGACTTGTAAAAAAACTAGCACTTACTAGACCCTCCAGAAAAACGCGGGCAAAAATCCTTGAATATGCGGGCTAAATTCCTTGATTATGCGGGCTAAAATCCTTGATTATGCGATTAAATATGCGGGGTTTTTATGTGATTTTATGCGGTGAAATTGCGGGAAGTTGCGAAATATGCGGGGAAAAAGAATAACAATTTTTTTAAATATTGAAGTGTCTTATTTATTCTCTCTCACACACAACCTGCCACTAACGTTGAACCCCTTTACTATTCAATTAAACACAGTCAATGTTTATTTATTGTAAAAGCAATTGGGCTATTTTAATCTCACACACACACACTTCTCCGCCTCATTCTGTTTTCATTTACTCGTTCGTTATCTGACCAGCTTCAATCTTGTAGGCTACTCACTTCGTTTCTTGTAGCCCTCGAAAGGGTTTTGGAGGATGATGCCTCGGTGAGCGTGAGTCGTTTGGCTTTCTTGTCCGCAGCAGCAGAAAGCATTTTCGAATGTTTGAATGAATCAAAGTGGGTCGTCACCGTCGATTTTCTCTTATGCTCCAACACACAGTTGCACGGGGTGCAGAATAGTTTCCCCCCACTTTTTGCCCGGTCTTTAGTATAAATGTTCGTCGGTAAA